AAAGCCACTTTAAGTTCTTGTTCCTGGAGCAGGAGATTAAGACATTTTAAAATTGGCACTGTCATTCACTCACACTGAGACAGAAAGATAATTAGAAGAGACCTGGTTTTGCAGCAGCAGCAAAATGTTGTCTTTCTTCTGGTTGCTGTTTTCCTTCCTATGTTCTCCTTTACCTGGATTTGTTACACTATGACATGTCACACCGGAAGCCTGGGATTCCCAGAGTTAGGGAAATGACTAAAAATAGCACAAAACAGGGGAAATGTTGCTCGGTTAGTTTGTTTTTCTTTAGAGTAGTGCTTGCAAACTCTGGTTTTCAAAGGAGACAAGTGATCAGGATTTGAAATTCAATCTCTCTGAATTTGAAAGCCTCCAGAAAGACCTGATTTAAAAAGAGGTTCCTCAGTACGTTCCCAGAATCAGGACTCATCTGAGACCAAAAGCTGTGACTGAGGTTAGCAATGACCCGTATGGTCCCTGTGGTTCTCTTAAATAAGCACTAGAAACATGGGCCCACACATGCAGGGAACTATGAAGAGGCAGCAGGCACAGTGGCCAGCTGTGATGTTTGGTTTTTAAAATTTGAACACTAACCCAAGAATCCTTCTCAAGCCATGCAAAGAAATATTAACAAGCTCTTTGCCCACAAAGCTTTCGGTGTTGTCTCTCGGATCAATTAGGCCGAGGCCGTTCCTCTGTGGTGCCCTCCAGCCCCACTGCCGGTCCTTGACATCTGCTCTCTGCCCAAAGGCCTTTCCTGCTCATACCAGCTGCACTGCGACACTGCCAGCCAGGCATATCCATAACCTGTCCACAGGCCTCAGAAACAGCTCAGGAAATTCAACTGCATCAATTCATTTGCAATTGCCCTTATCTGGCACCTTCACTTTTTGAGTGAACTCAGGTTTCTGACTTTTCTCCTTGACTCTGAGTGCAGGAAACACAGAGTGGGGGTCTACAGTACAGGCAAAGGAGCTACTCCATGAAAATAGGATTGAGACTTCCCTTTATATCTAGGCAGGTTGCCTAGGACTGCCAGATTCCTGGCTCCCTGGGCAGGGAAGTTGGAAGCTGTGTGAATTATGCATTGAACGAAATTTCTCACTGGCAGAGGGGAGAGCCCAGCACTGAGCTAAGAGTCAGGACTCCATTCCTGGTCAATCCAGCAAGGCTGAAGATGCTGAAAACCTGACCTGAACACAAGCCTCAGTCACCAAGGCCCTGCTGCACAGTTGGGCACTGCAACCTCATTGCTATTAGCACTGAAAGAGTTTTGGGATAGATCCTTTGACATTCCAGAACACAGATGTTCTAGGATCATTTGACAGAAATCCCTCAAGCAGGGGGCCTGTTTCCCTGGGGGTTTGTCAGAGCCAATATGGAAATATAACCGTGGATTTCATCAAAGTTTATCAGAACTCCAATGTTTTCAGTGAAACATTTTGGATACAGCTAACTGACATGGTTTATCGGTGTAACTGCCAGCGAGTTAATGGTTGGACTTGATTTTAAAGAGGCCAGACTAGTCAGGCACGATTTGCCCTTAGTGAAGCCATGCTGGCTGTCCCAGATCACCTCCTTGTCTTACATATGCCTTAACATTGCTTCCATGAGGATCCACTCCATGATCTTCCCTGGCACAGAGGAGAGGCTCACTGCTCTGTAGTTCCCTGGCTCTTCCCTTCTTTCCTTTTTATAAACTAGAGTGATGTTTCCCTTTTTCCAGTCACTGGGGCTTTCCCCTGATGGCTGTGACTTTTCCAGTACGATGGAGAGTGGCTCAGAGACCACACCAGCCAGTTCCCTCAGAACCTTGGGATGCATGTCATCAGGCCCCAGAGACTCGTGGCTATAGAATGTTCCACGCCATTCCCAGGATCACAAAACAGAACCTCCACTGACACGGGCTCAGGTTATTTTATCTGGCCACCCACCACATGAAAAGTTCATGTTCAAGCTGGTCACAAATTTCAATCCAGAACGAAGCAACATCAGAACTAAAAATTATTGTGTGGAGGTGGTGAAATTGAGACTCGGCTTCAGGTCCACGGTGTAGGATTTTGAAATACATTCAGCACTGGCCTAATTCTGTTCACGTCAAAGTCAGTGCCAAAACTCGCCTCATGTCACTGGAAACCGAGCTCAGCAAAAGGGAGGTTGGATCTTGGTTTTTTTCATAAGGATTTTCAACCCTCTCTACAGTATTTTAGGGAAGTTATTTCTCACCAAATCACACAAATCCTTTTAGACTGGTGAGTGGAAGAGTAGAAATGTACCTGCTAAAAGCAGGTCTAGCTCAGGTTATATTGAGATGACTCTAAAACTGATGTTCAGGCCTAATCCTTTCCTAAAAGAGAGCTCTGGCAGGGAAACCTGGGCCTGTCCTGAGTAAACAGGTACCAGCATTCCACAAGAACTAGCCTGATGAAGCCTCTTCCAAGCTTTCACGTGGGATATGTCTGCCACCTACTGTTGACTAAACTATTTGCACAGGGAGGCCGTGGACATTGAAATTGAAAAAAATTTCACGTTCCTGTGGGCAAAGAAAGAGCCAGTTTTAGAGAATTTGCCATAATGATGTGTCTAAAAACCCCAGCTCTTGTTGGGGTTTGATTAATGATGGGAGAGAAAACTTGACTTGTTGATTAATAATAATTAATGTGTGATTTATTTGATGCTCCTATTGCAAAGTATTTGTGTAAGGCTTGTAGAAGTACTTTTGTTGAGAACCATTTTCATTGTCGCTACATGGGTCTTTTTAAATTAACAAAAGATATTTGAAATAGAGAAGGTGAGAAGTTCCTTAAGGTACTAGGTAATGCTGATAAAGAATTCCAAAAATTCTCAACAGCTTTTCTGGCTAGTGACTGTCACTGTTTAACAAAGAGGTCTGCAGGATTTGGAATTAAGGTGCCTAAAGGCTACAGGTGAAGTGCTTTGCCGAATCCAAGGTGGTTTAAAACTCACTGAAGTTAAGTGGCACTTAAGAGCTTTGGTGAACATGGAGAGACTGTAGCAATATCTGAAGATAAACTTGGGAATTTGTGTTCAAACTGAGCTCTGGAACACAATGTTAAGTACTGGAAATTAATACCTTGTCTACAATTGCAAATGACACACTTGAGAAAACAAATCAGATGTTTCAGGCTGAGTCTGTGCATCAGAATTTGTGAATGAGAATAAAAGGTCCAGACCTACCTTTCAACACACTCACAGGTTCACGCACCAGACAGCTACAGGTAAATGTCTGGCTGACTTTTGAGGTACTTCCTCTTTTAGAAATATAAATTAATTCATATTCATGAAGGAGAAGACAAGTGACAAAAAGGAAAATTCACCCTATCAGCATTTTTTCTCCTTATTGAAAAGGTCACTCATTCAGGAACACAAAGCTATTCAAGGCAGCTCCTAACTTTGTAATTATCTTGCATTAAAGTCAATGGCACTGTAAATGTCACATAAGAAACAATATCTGTGTATAGCCTGCTGAAATAAATCACACAAAAAGAATCACTTTATTTTTACTGTAGAATGAAAAAATCCATCTCTGTTTTAGGACACATATGTTTAAGACTCAAAAGCTTTAGTAACATTTCTTTTCCATAGTGGTGGGAAGGGACAATAGTTTTAGCTGTGGGTGGATTACCGGCTGCTAGCTCCATCTACTGAGTCCAACTGAAATAACAGAAACATCGAGCTTTCATCTTTTTCTGCAAAAATGTATCCAACTGCCCCCTAACAGGGATCAGGAACCAGCAACATGGAGCATGAGCCAATAAGTAGCACAGCACACCCTATCTGTCTGAAAACCAGAGGCTCCGTCGGACCCTGGGGGTTATGGAATTATAGACCACTGAAAGCTTGTAGACAGTTTTTCTAGTTCTAATTTGAACTCTGCAAAAAAATGTTCTTATTCCACTTGATGTGCCTTTTTGAGATACCACAGGCATTTCTTACGTTGCTTTCCCTGAATTCAAGGTCTTACCATGTTTTACACGAAGATTCTCACTCCCTTCCTTGTCCAGAGATAAACTACTCTGGGAGGATAAATATTTTCAAGGCACACTTTATATGAAGATAGTAAAAACCAGCTTGAACCTCGTTGTTCTGCATGTCAGCAGAAGGCTGCTTGCACTGAGATCTCCCAGGCTGATCCTAGAGAAGCCATTTCAAGGACTAATTTCAGAACTAATCAATTGTTTACTTAAAAAGTGGTTACTATAGAAATTATCATTATGGACTGGTAGAACTCAGGCAAAACACGAAGTGTAAGAAATGTTTAACTTGCTAGCTGACTCCTGTGCAGTCCACAGTTGATGCTGCCTTAAATGCCAGTAATAAAACAAACCTCAAAGAGCAAAAGATTAATTTGACACATAAACTTTGATATTCAAATACAGGCAAGGTGGCTTTGGCTTGAGAGGTCTCATTTACACTTTTGGGTTACAGATCCATCATGCATAAAGTGCACCCAAAAAATCACTTTATCTTACGATTTGTCTTGTCTTTACTTTTACCTCTGACGGCGTTTGAAGAGAATGAGAAAGAATCCAGAAGCTCACCCACATGCCCTTTGCCTCAATTTGACATGGTGTTCTTCAATTTTATACTCACAAAGGATAAACATTTTGAAACCTGTGTAGCAAATTAGGAGCCTGAAGTACACTTTGAAAAATCATTTGTGCATGTTAAAATATAAGTCTCACAGAACACTAATGCATTTTAGGATTTCAAGTGCTCGAGCCCCTTCTTATCTAAGACTCCCAAAGAACTAAATATATTACAGAACAAATGTTTTATTTTTTAACAGAGCACTTGCAAATTTCTTCAGCAAATCAATTGTTAAAAGTGTTGATTTCTGGCCTTGTTTTTGCTGTCCCAGTTCTCCCCGTGAGGAAGCGGTCAAAGCTGGCATGATGTTTTAAGGGCAACTATCAGGACATGTAAACCTGGTGTCTGAGATGGAATACAAATCGTTCTCAAGACACTGGAGAGGGACATATAGGGCTATTTCCAAGTGGCATTTATGATGGATAAGTATAACAAAAGGCAGTTCACCTGGTTTACCACACTAAACTGCAGGCAGAGGTGATCCAGAAGTGGCTTTCCGACTGGGAGTGTTTGAGCATTAATTGGAATGTAAGTGTGGGGTTTGAGTGGTAACAGTGATGTAAATTTACCTGTAACTCCAGGCACTTCTCCCCAGTCAGCACCACTGTTCTTAAATTCTCGGTCTGTCTGGATTGTCTTCATTTTCTTTACTCTCAAGGCCACACTACTTGAGACGTTCACAGGAACCTTGCTGTAATGCAGAATTAGAGATGATTACAAAATGGAATTTAAAGCAAATGTCATGGCTGCATAAAATCAGCTTTTAATCATTCTTTTCCACATGTAATTTACAGGTATTAGAACAGAGTTTTTTAGACAAATCTTAAAACGTACATCACAGAAAACAGTACTTTTCTGAAGTAGAGACATTCGTGCTTTTTTCCTTCTTTCTCCCTTTGCCTTGGACAGCAGTCCATCAATGCTGAACAACTTTGATTTTATTATGTCCATTCAAAATAATTCATGATGGTCTAACTTCAGTTTATTTTGCCTCCCATTTCAGATGGATCTTCCTTTTGTTTGGTTGGTTTTTTTGGAGACAATGCTATGCACCAAGGAGGTGCAGTGAGCCTGTTGCTTTGGTATGCTTGTTGAAACAATACAGTCTGGGCTTCCCAATTCCCAGAACGAGATGAACAAAAACAACAGCTGCAAAACAGTATGTATCAAAGATAACCATATTCACTCATTCCATCACTAGTGAGAACGGCAGGCTTTAGGTCTTGGAATAATTTTATAGTTTATTTGATTAATCATCTTGGTAGCCTTGTGGCAGATGTAGCAGCCATGAGTTTGGGTTAAAAATGCTAAAAGTTAGAAACTTTTTTCAGTTCCTGTATTAATTGCAAACAAATTCACTCCCCCTGCTTCCTGACCTTGATGATGACACTGCTTCCAGCAGCTACAAACGAAACTGAAAGCAGATCCATACAGATAATTACACCACAGAGGAGGTTTTCAATGTGTCGGCTGTTCCACAGAGCCTTTTTTCCAGGCTGCGCTCCCCCAGCTCCCTCAGCCACTCCTCATGACTTATGTTCTAGACCCTTCCTCAGGCCCTTCTCTGGACACATTCCAGCACAGAAGGCTCAAAGGAGGGGGGCAAGGAGAGCAGGCATAAACTGGATCTTATAAAAATGGAGGAAAAGGCCTTGCTCTGCAGTGCAGGGTGAGGAGGTGCCACTCTTTGAACAGGACAGAGGTCACCCCATAAAAGAAACTGAACAAACAGCCTCCGACAGGCCACGCTGCCCATGCCAACACAAGTGGTGCTGGTAATAACTCCTCCATCTCATCCGGGCCTTGGGAATACCCTGCAGAGAGATAAAATACTACCCTCGCTTTCATCAGCAAGAAACTGGACCCTCTCCAAGCCTAACAACTTGAAGGGATACCTGGAATTAGGTGCAAACGTCCCCAGCATGAAAGGCAGATTAGTGATACAGTGTAACAGAGCTTAACGCGGCACAAGGACCCTTCAGCCATTTCCACCTTACCCTACCCTGCAAATACACACAGAGGGCAACTAACAGCTCAAAGAGTAAAACCCAGCCCTGCAACTGCCCTCCCCAAATCCAGCCGGGTCAATTTGGTGCATTTGGACAACTTGTTTGGCTGCTTGTACAGCCAAAGGAATCCAAGACGTGTGATCTGCTCAAACAAGTCAGTCACCTCTGGGACTAAACAATGAGGATGAGGTCACTTTTCCAGGCTCATCCTTGTCATACCACATGGTGAATCTCAGGTGCTAGGGCTGAGGTTACCTATACTCACTCACAGTTCTTTTTTCTGCCTCTTGTGATGACAGTATAGCAATATAGCAAATAATGTACAACATAAATGCTAAATAATACATAATATCTTATATATATATAATAATGCCAAATCTGTGCTTGTACCTCAATAGAAGCCAGTAAAAATCAATGCATTTACATTATTTTTAGTGGGGAAAAAAAAAAAAGTGGTGCTCTCCAACACCAGCCAAATAAAAAAGGTAACAAATAATCAAATAACTACAATGTCTTTGCATTTCTGTAAATTAGAACTGGAATAGTTATAATATAACTGGAATACCAAACCATCTGTAGTGTACCACTGCATTAGAGCTATGACTGACCTTTCCAACATGTTTCTGTGCTTAGTATAATTTTTATTTCCAATAGGTCTAAAAAAAAATAAATTGGAAAAAAGCTCATTTCTCCAATGAGCATGCATCAACTGCCCAAATTTAAATATTTGATGTATTTAAATTAACTATATATTTTATACATATAATATATATATATTTAACTTACATTTTTACTTAACACATTTAACTTTTCATACTGCAGAACTTGATATGCCCCAATGGAGGTGATGGCATTAACATTCTGAGGACATCTTAGGGATGAAAAGTCTGGGGTGGGGGCCTGAGGGAGGAAATGGGATGTAGTGATACAGTTAACAGGTGTCATTAAAGGAACACGGTCTAATTGACACAGGAATTTTGATGTTTCTGCCATTTTCAGTGGTGTTGTTTCAAAACAGGGTTTTGGGGGTTACCTTTGAATGCACAGTCTCCAGTGAGAACGAACTGTATGGAAGAGCACAGAACCCCAGAATTATTTAGGTTGGAAAAGACCTCAAAGACCATCAAATCCAACCTTTGACCGGCCACCACCTTGCCAGCTACAGCAGGGCACGAAGCGCCACCTTCGGTCATTCCCTGAACATCACCTTTAACTGGAATTCCGCGCGTCGCGGTTTCGGCACCGCACTCGGACTAATTTATTTTACACTTTCAGCGACGCCCCAACAGTTTCTTTTTTAAAAAAGGGGTTGGGAGGTTATCTTTTAATGCACATTGGCCGCACTGTGTGAGGGAACACCGCTTTTAACCCGAATTGTGCGCGTTGTGGGGTGTCCCTGCCGGCCGCTCCCTCAGGAGGGTTTCCCGCCCTGGGCGCGCGCTCCCTCCCTCACGCCCGGGGGACAGCGCTGGCCCCACAGACCGCTCTGACCGGGCAGCTCGGCACCGCCGCACCCGCGGAAGCCTCCCGGGGGACACTCCCGGGAGACGTTCCCGGGGCGGGTGGCTTGGCCGGGGGTCCCGTTCCCCTCACCGAGGCGTGGCAGGCTGAAGGCTGGAGGCTGAGGGGTGAGGGCTGAGGGTGATGACGCGGCGGCGGTTCCGGCGCCGGGGCGGTGACCGAGGCGGCGGCGCGGGCGGAAGGAAAGGAAGGAAGCGGAGGGTGGTCTCGCCGCCGCCGCCGCCGCGCTCCGGTTGCCTGGAAGGGGAGAGGGGCGTGAGGGGCGTGAGGGGCGCGGGCTCGCGGCCTGAGGGCAGAGCGGGAGCGCGAGCGGCGAGCGCGCGCGGCGAGCGGGAGCGGCGCGAGCGGCCGCCTCAGGAAGTATCGCGAGAGTTGGCGCGGCGGCGGCGCCGGCGCTAGAGGTGACCGAGGCAGCGGCGGCCGCGGGCGCCTCCTCCTCCTTCTCCTCCTCCTTTTCCTTCCTCTCCGGCCATGGAGAAGGCGGTCGGCGCGGCGGTGGCGGCGGCGGTGACGGCGGAGGAGGGAGGCGGTGAGGGCGGCGGCGGTGAGGCCGGCAGCGCCACGGCGGGGCCCGGTCCCCCGGAGGGGCCGAGCGGCCCCGCCGCGCCCCCCTCACCGTGTGGGCCCGGGGCGGCGGGGCTGGTGCGGGTGTGCGATCTCCTGCTGAAGAAGAAGGCGGCGCCGGGCAAGGCGAAGCGCGGCGGGCGGGCGGCCCGGCCGGCCAGCAGCAGCGAGAGCGGCGGCGGCGGCAGCGAGAGCAGCAACAACGGCAGCGACGAAGACGACGACGAAGAGGAGGAGGAAGACGACGACGACGAGGAGGAGGAGGAAGAGGAGGTCTCCGAGGTACGGCGGGAGGGAGGCCCCGGGGGTTTCCCCGATGATCCGGTTTCATAATTCCAGCCCGCTGCCGGCTCCCCCCGCCCGCGGCCCTGCGGCACCGCCGGGGAGAAGGGGCAGTACCTCGTGGCCAGGGCACGGCCGATGCTGCCCCCCGGGCACCCCCGCCGCGGGGAGCGGCCCCCGCTGTCCCCCACGGTTTTCCCCGGGGGTTGGAGGCTCCCTGGGAGCGGCAGCCAGCGGCCGCCTTGCAGCCTGGTGTGGCTTTATCCCGAAGGGAAAGGCCCGGGAGCTGCAGCAGGTGCCCTCTGCCGCCGTGCTGCGTGCCATGTGCCGTATCGCGATGGGTATGGGAGCCCGGAGAGCGATGGCTGGGCGGTGGAAATGCTGCTGGCACGCCCGGGATGGGGCTCCGGGGACAGGCCGGAGCATGCGTGTCTCGGAAGGTGTGGGTGCTCCCAGATTTGGGAATAGGTCATCTTGGACGGAGCGTGCAGGGAAAGCAGGTGAAGGTGGAGGGAAAGCGGGTGAAGGTGCAGCCGAGTCGAAGGCTGTTGGACAGCCCGGGGTGTCCCGCTGTCGTTCAGCGCCCTCTCCAAAGCTGCCAGCAGCCCTGATTCCGTGTAAAGCAGAGCCGAGCCCAGAGAAACATTAATAACTGCGTTTTGTCTAATGTTCGGTTTTTCAGGTAGGTATCTCCGGGAAAGGCCAGGCGAGGCTGGAAGGTCCTAATTTACATCCGTGCTCGCACACAGATCTTTGCTGGGTGGTTTTAATTCTGTAACCCCCTCAGCTGGACCTGCACTTCCGCCTTTTTTTTCTTTTTTTTTTTCCTTTTTTTTTTTTTTCCAGTAGTGTCCTCAAAAAACGTCCACTTGAAGTTTATTGGCTTTTCTTTGAACTCTGTTTCGGAGCGGTTTGACTTTCAAGTGGTACATCTGCATTTCTGTTAGAAATTGAGCAGGAAGGAAGAGTCTGATAGGTTCGAGGAAGGGCTGGGTCAAGATGCTGATAGGTTTTTCCCTGGTCAGGCAGCACTCTGCATTTTATCCCTGCTAAAGTTGATACAAGAAGCATTTTATCCACGTGCTCCGAGATAAATTGCACACAAGAAACGCGTCACAACAAGTCCTCACACCCGGCATTTTGTTTCTGTAGTGCTGAGTTTCAGGAAAGTGAACATCATTGTGTAGGTAGAAGTTTTTGAGGTGTAAAACTCATAGGATAACTGTCTTGGTGCCAAACTGTGGTGTCCAGCAGTCCTACAGATGCTTGGAGAGCTCTCTCTTGAGCAGAATCCTTTGAGCTTTGCTGTGGTGGTGTGTGGCCCTTCAGTGACTTCGATGTATCAGTTGACAAGCCCTGAGCTTAGCTGTGTGTGATGGAAACAGAATTTGTGTCGACTGAGACTTACTGGCAAAATCACAGGTCTGTGTAGTGGTCCATGTAGAGGCCGTTCTTCCCAATGGCTCCTTTTACTGGGAGCTTTCAGGTGGAATGGCGTGTGCAGCGTGACAAGAAGGGCAGAGACAGCCAAGGGGTACAGATAGTTGCTGAGGAATTCCCTACATGAGGCGAGCCTCTATCTGCCTTACAGAACCTAAGGCACCTACTTCACATGCTTTGAGACCTGCAGAGAGACGGAAAAAAGCAAATTATTAAATATCATGAGGCAGAATACTCGGCTCTGTTTTCATTTCATTTTGACAGTGTGACATGTGCTATAGGTACTGATAGCTGGGAAGGCAGTTGGGGCATCTGGAAGCTTCCCTGATGGTTTCATCATGCAGTAAGTGGAGGCTCTGCCAGACTGGGTGGTCTGGGATGAAATATTAAGCAGTGCTAAACAAGCAAGTGGATAATGCTGAGTTTATGAAGTTCAGGATTCATGGCAAAATGTATGCCATCGGTGTCATTTGTAATTATTCCTTTTCTTGATTGTGCGGGTTGCTTGCAAAAATTTGTTCTAGTCTTTCTCCCACTGACTTCAGGATAAAATGGTGCAGCTGGAGTCACAGTTTTTGGGAATGTGAACGTGGGGATGGCCTGATTAATGGAGCAGAGCATCCAACTTCAAAGTCGTTCCCAGCAGCTCCTGGGGAGGAAATGTGTTTGGAGTGTTCTCGGCAAAAGGGAGGTTTCCTTGTCTGAAAGCAACCTCGTGATTGGTTTTGGCTTTTAGAAGCCTAAAAAAAAAAAATCCCACGGTAGAAACAAAGGGTTTTTTAGTTGTTTGGGGGTTAATTTTTTTCTTAATTTCAGATTTACTTGAGTTGTGCCCAGCTCTGCAGTTGGATTGTGGTCTTCTGACCGCTGTCTGTCTGGAAGGCACAGAATGAAAAACACAAAAGAAATATAAGTTTCTGGTTTTGCTGTAACTGGAAACTACTGTGGGAACACTGCAGACGCTGGTGTTCCCTCCCAGCCATTCCCTTCATTATCTCTGTAAACTTAAGACAGTTTGTCTTAGGCTATTTTTTGCCCTTCCCATGCCTAATACATTAAGACTTCTCTAATCTCTGAAGCAAAGTGCTTCTAGATTTGGCTGCTAGCGAGGCAGCTTCAAAAAATCAGGAGTAGCAACAAGTGCGAGGTTTTCTGAGGGGAAACCTGGCAGATCTGAAGTCACAGAAACCCCGGGAGTGGGAAGACATTGTTTGGCTCACGTGTTGCTGGGCTGATGGAACGGAATAAAGAGTTGTAATCGGGTGTTTTCATCTCTGTGTCTGAACTCTGTTGGATCCCCGTGTGGAAGCACGGGCACTGGAGAGGGCTTTGGCAGAAGCGAAACGGAAATTTAGAACCAGCAACTTAATGAGCTCCTATGACACTGTTCATGGCCACCCTCAAGGTTGATTTTTCTTTTTAAACTGCAGCAAATTACTGCAAAACCCCAAGATCTTAGGTAGCGTGGTCTGGTGCTGTCTGCAAATGGCAAATTGCCTTTTCCCTAAAAATGAGTTAGTAAAAAATGATAGCTTTTCTCAGTACACAGGAGAAGGAATCTTGAGGTACGAGAAAAATGGCAGTAGGAGTTACACAGCAGGGGAGGTCAGGGTGCAGCTTCCTTGAAGGTGTTCTCGTGTGTAGTGATTTTGTTCCCTATTTGTCTTCAACAAATAGTGAAAAATATTAATGATTTCTGGTAGCAAGTTGCTACTTGAAAATCTGATGTCCAGAGTGCATTAGGGCTTCTCTTGTTTAACACAGAAAGGTTGGGTTGTGTAATAAAAACTGTTCCCAAGCTGATTTCTAGTCTTTGAACTTAGAGGAGGTTTGCTGTTGGCAGTCAGGTTTCTAATTGCTCTTCCCGATACTTTGTCCATCTCAAGAGTCTGTAAGTTCGGTTTTCTCCCTGAGTTTCATGATGATCCAAGGTGTAGCTCCATTTTGGATTTATGTTTGCTTCTGTACTCTCTTCCATTTTTTTCCTGTCACGGGATTCTTCCATGATGTGCAAATTAGCTTCCCAGGACACAATCCTCCATTAACTGTACCTCAAAGTGCTGTCCTAGGCAAAGGATGCTTTTTGAGATGCTTTGGCAGTTTTTTAAGCATTCTTGGTATCACTTGGGCCTGCTGTAAATACAAGTTCATGTTTGTCTTTTCAGCTGCAATTGCATTAGTAATTGAACTGAGCTAGTAAGATGAAGTGAGTAGAACAGCAAAACAGCACAGGTCCTCTAAAATGTCTTCATACAGAAGAAACTACTGTTAATCCTTTGGTTTCAGATGTGAGGTGTTAATGTGAAATCTCAGCCTTCCTGGTGTGGTTTGAGGAGCGTTACCGACGCAGGGGTGTCACACTCACATTGGAAAAGGCTCGCAGAGCTCAAGTGTTCAAGTGAGCTGGTTGGAAACGCAGAACTCATTTTACAAATCTGGTTGTTTTAGCCCCAGCTGTCTTAGTTAGAGTCCTGGGATAAGGCCTTTGGGTGGTGCAGGGCTGGCTGAGTGCTGGGCCATGTGCTCGCTCTGCTGCCGTTCCTTTGGTGTCCTTGGGTGTCGGGGACGTGACTGAGCGTGCGGCTGGTGTGGCCCTGGCCTTGGGAGTGGGTGACATCCCGAGCTGCGCCTCAGCCCCGGGCTCTGCCACGCTGTTTACAGTGCAGTTCTCTTTTTTTCTCTCTGTTTTGGCTGGTTCTGCCAGCACTGCTTTGTTTCCTCCCTTCAAAAGAGGAAATAATAGTGAAATCCCTTAGGATGGTTCTTAAAAATCCCTGAAGTATCAGGGCTAATCCCAGGGCTGTCGAAAGGTGAATGCCACTGACCCCAGGAAGCATTAGGCAAAAATGGTTAGCATGCCTTCCTGTTCAGGCTGCAGCCAAATCAGTGTGATTACGCCTAGCACGTAAATTTTTGAAGAAATCATAAATATTATTCATTTTCT